CACTGTCTCTCCTGTTTTTTTAACACTGCACGGGAATGTGTGTTCATTTTTTGCTACATAGGATAGACCAGCCAAGCTCTTCTTCCTGGCATATTCCTCCGCCTCGTTAAAAGCACTCACAACAGACCGAAATCGCAGTACTTCATTTGGAATGTGATGCAACTTGTCGAAATTCGTCATGCATTGTTCCACGGCTCAGTGGATAAACGCAAACTTCTCTCCAGCAAAGCTGTCAATTTCCGTTATCAATAATGACAGCGCAAAAACTTTAGATGCTAGCGGTACAGATTCAGGGTGCACTGGTGGAAAACCCCTCCGAACTCTGTAGTGGGAAAAGTGCATGTGCTTTTGGCACATTGTGATTATTGGCTCCTTCACAAGAACTAGATTCGACAATTTTTGTACAGTTCACACCAAAAAACACGCACCATAACTTTATGGGCTTCTGCACATAAGTTAATTTCAAAAACTTTCTTCCTCGTCCTATCATTACATACAACTGTAATTATCTGATTTCTTAATTTTACAACACTTTCGTTCAAATATCAGTAAACAGAGTTATAAAAACGTTAGAATGTATGCAAATTAGACATATTGTTAGTGTTTATTAACGGAGGATTATATCACATGGAACAAAATCGGCTCGCCAAACAAAACAAGTTCTGGAATCGTTCCAATACTCCTTTGGTTCCATCCGGACCTTGTGTAAACATGTGCCGTCTTTTGATAAAATTTTAAAAATTTTCCTCTTGGCTGGATAAAAGTCGCTATGAACTTTTTACAAGCCACTGTCGTTCCTGCGTAAGAACTAGCCACGAGCATGTTTGCACTCTACTTCACCTTCGTTCTCGGTGCTTTGATTTTCAGATCCATTTCTTCGCTTCGTGCATTAAGTTTATTTATCTTATAAGGGCTGCTAACAACGAGATCTGTGTCGTCGATGCACGGCACTTGGCTTAGGTGTTTTCCTTTAACGTTCAAACCACTTTTCATTGATCTGAATAACATCCTAAGAGAGTCTGTGGAAAAACCCGGGCGATATGGATGCAAAAATTTGTTTAATGGGGCAGCCACTACTGCGTGTTGGAATTGTGAACTGTGATAAAATAATGCAAATAATGGCTGTTCTGTAGTCCAAGATTAAGAATGGACTCAAATTTGGAAGCAGTTTTGAATAACTTCAGAGCTCCTTTATTAAAGCAGTTTGAACGATATGTTACTGCTATTGATTGTTGGAACGTTTCTGGTCAACTTAGCTGCGGGCCAGTTTCTGTTTGGCGGAGGTCTACCTCCAATGGTAAGCACAAACACCACGAAGATGCACTGCTTCGAGTATCGAGATTGCGAATCGTGCCTTAATGGTCAGGATTTCATGAAAAATCAGTGCGAGTAAGGTTACTAACTTCAAAATTTTGGTTTTTTCTCGATTATTTGAGTTCGATGTTCTTTGAAAGGCTAAAAAAATAAAGGGAAAAAACAGCACAAATAAAATAAAACTAAGCAAATACATGGAAATACAGGAATTAGATATTAGCTATTACATTATTATGCGTTTTGTGCTGTGTAACAGCAGTACAAAACGCATATTGTTACGGGGTTGTCTG